TTACTTAATTCTGACAATGATTCTATGACTTGGATTTACTCCAGTTTAACAAATGTAGAACTGAGGTTCAGAGACATTACGTCAGTCATTATGAGTCTGTCAAACTCTAGAGCCTACTTTCTTTGGTATTACATGACTTCTAAAGACCTTCTTGCTCAAAAAAACCAGGGCTTAGACAGGGAGAGAGCATCCTAGGGACATCGGTGATGTGAGAAGCAGGGAAGAGTCCGTGGGTAGAGGAAGAGCCATCAGTGACTCCCACTGAGGCCTCATTGGAGGCCGTTGTGTGTCACTGAAGTCATCTTGCACAAGACCGCTGATACTTAAATTGAAACAAGACAGTGACTTTAGATGACTCTGCTTCTGCCAATTCAGAGCACTTACCAGGAGCATCCACTCCTACCCCTAACCAAGTGGGCATGAAGGAAAGAAAACCAAGAGAAGGAAAAGATATGAGTTCTCTTTAGAAAAGGAGGTCAGGTCCTCACTCTTTTGACCTGCTCCCCATGTCTTCCTTGCACTCTTCATGATCTTTTGAACACATCCCAGGACAGCTGAGGGCCCTGCTAGGAAAGCTCACTGTGCTTATGAACTATTTTGTGGAGGTCAGCAGTCTGAGCCTCAATTCACAGTAAGGAAAAGCTAAATGGTATTATTCTGCTTTGGGATGTTGGTCAGTAACTGTGTGGCAGCCTATAATAACCTCATTGATTAAAAGATTTTTTTTTCCTCCTCTAATAAATAGAGGATTTTATTTTCTAGAGATATTACTCTGGAATTTTTCCAGGCAAACTTTTTTGTGTGTGTGATAGGTAGTGGAAAATTCATTGGGTCACATTGACTGGTACTTAATGGGTGGACGTCAGCCTCAGGAGCTAGGCCCCTTGGTGAGTAACCATGTTGGGAATCAACCCACTCTTGGGCATATAAAATAAGCCCATTTAGAGAAATCTCATGAATTTTCATCATGAACCAGCAACGTCAGAGGTCAATAGGAAACCAAAATAATAATACACTATCCTTTCTCATGGCTTAAATCAAAGAGCCTAGTCAAACGAATTATGAAGAGAGAAATTATACTTTTTAGTCCTCAGTGCTTTCATTCAACCATGAATGGTATTGATTTAGGGTAGTTGTAAAGAGCGCTTCAATGAGAGAGATTTAAAACAAGAAAAAGTAGGTACGTGCTGACTATGAAGAGAGTCAAATCTAATGTAGAATTTTAAAGTTATAGATAACCTAGTGCCGCCTAGTCACATACAGCAAAGGCGCGTGACCATTGCCTCTCTGCAGGAACCAGAGTCACCTGGAAGCCTTGTTAAAATACAGATTTCTGGGTCCCACCTCCAGGGTTTCTGACTCAGAGTTTCCGGGGTGAGTCCAAGAGTTTGTATTTCTAGCAAGTTCCCAGGTGATGCTGAAGCTGCTGGTCCAAGCGCACGGGGCGAGAACTGCTCAGTAGCATCTGCGCAGGAGATTGATTCATCCTGGGTTCGCTGGAACGCCTCTGATGAGGTGAATTGTGAAAGCTGCCTCCGCCGTCAGGACATCTTTCTTAGAGCTTACCGATGCTGCACGGAATGTGCTTCCAGTAAGTCTGTCCGTCATCCTAACCCTGCCAGCTGGAATCACTCCGAAGACGCCTAATCCCCATAGAAATGCCGACACAACGGACTTAGCCTAAGGAAAATAACAGATAGGGGTCCGTTCGGCAAATAATATGTCCCTTGCCAAGGAATGCTTGTTCAATCCGTTCTGCTATCCAACTCCCTATGAGTTTAAATTTTGTTAAAATTGGAATATACATAGAATAAAGTATGTAAATCTTATGTGTACAGCTTGATGAAGTTTTCCATATGTATACACCCATACAACTACTTCCAGGTCAAGACTTACATATTTTCACCACCCCCAAAAGATTCCCTTATACTCTTTGCAAGTCAGTGCTTACCCCCAAAGGTAACCACTATTCTACCTCAATTGCCATGGATAAGTTGTGCTTGCTCTTGAGCTCTGTATAAATGGAAGCTTAGAGAATACACTCTTTTATATCTTATGTTTTCACTCAAAATGACTGTGAGAGTCAACCATGTTGTAGATAGCAGAAGTTCTTTCCTTTTCGTTGCATACGGTATTGCATGCATTTCATTGCAAGTTTGATGTGTTGTATTATCTAGCATTTAATTCCTGGCCCCTCTTTGATTTTGTGTCTATTTAAGGTTCATAATAATATTAGCTAGCATGCCTACTTACCGTGAATCAGAATGGCGTTAAGTATATTACGTCACTTAGTCTTTCCAATAGTGTGACTTTGGTAGACCAGTAATCCATTTTACAAATGAGGTAACCAAGACTCAGTAACTTGCCCAGTGCCTTATAGATAATAAGGGGTAGAGCCCATATTGAATGCGGGTCCTTCTGACTCATTCATGATCCTGAGTTCCTAGTGAGTGGCTCTCATCATGCCCCTTCCTCTTGGTGCTTTACCAATACTCACCAACCAGAGGTTGACTCTAGAGAACATCAGTTCCCCTCTATTTTGAGGACCTTTCCATTTCCAGCCTCTTTTCCTTCCTCCTGTCTAATGGTTCTAAGCCATCATCAACCATGCTGGCGAACCGGAGGCTGGCACTTGTCAACATGCCATCAGGATTCTCCCAGCTTCTTCTTCAGATGAGCACATCTGTGGGGAGCATGTTATCTTTCATACAACTGTCTTACTACCAGAATGAACTTTCTTATTTGCTGGCTCTCTGGTCACTCCTGAAATTCCTGCCCTTGATAAGTGCAAATAATAGAATCAGGTCTGCCCTGTGCTTCCTGTTAAGGTGACACTTAAATTGTCTCTGAAAAAGAACTGTGTGTTCTGTTGAAGGAATTGGCTAAACTTCCTTTGACTTTAATGTCTAACAAACCCTTAACAGAAGGAAGTTTATTCTTAACTACAAATTACCTCGGGCAAATTAAGCCTCATTTCCTTTTTTATTTTGCTAATTAGGAATGGAAAATTGCTGGTCAGGTTACTCCATACTATCAACTTGAATAGATTTAAAAAGATAATCAAACGCTTCGAAGCAGTTTTAAGCCTGGCTTTGATTCAGTATCTGGATAAGAAGTCTTCACATATACAGATGCTTCCAAATTTGCCATTTTATTTCCATATTCTTCACGGTGCATGCAGATCTTAAAAATTGGATTTCTGTTGCTAAGAATGATGTTGTTTGAATTTATAAAGGTGGGTAGTCTGCGAAATTATTCTCTGTCCTAACAGAATATGAAGGTCAGGAGTAAAAACTGGGATGCGCTTTGCTTGATCTGTCATCTCACTAATTTTTCTTAAATCTCATAAAGTCCATTTGTCTGTTTATCTTGTAATTCTAATTTGTATCCTAAGATTCATGCTGGGGAAAGCTGTGGGAAATGTTTTTAAAAAAGGGCCATAAACTTTCTGGATAAGCAGTACCTTAGGACAGCCAAATGACTGATGGGGGAAAGGTGTTCTGTATGGAGGAATCCCAATGGAAGGAATGATAGAATTAGGAGCCATCCTTTTGTGCCTTTAGTGTAGTAGTGTATCTGGACAAACGTTATCAATAATTGATAAAACTGTTAAGTGAAAGATCGATGAGGAACTTTATAATGGGTGATCAGATTGACAATACCGGAACCCACCATCAATCTTACTACAACTGAAAGTAGACTAGTAGATATTAGGTACCTTCTGATGTGATAAAGTAGTGAGTACTCAGCATCACCTATGAAGTGTTCTTGTCAATAGCGTTGGACCAGAGTCTAGCCAAGCCTCCAGCTCTACCTACCAGAACACCACGAGCTGCAGGGGATGGAGCTGTGCTTCTCAACCTTCACTGGATATTAGACTCCATGGAGAATTTAAAAAGTCCTGATGCACAGGCTGTGTCCCAGACCAATTAAATGAGCTCTTGGCCTGGGCATCGGTATTTTTTCTAGCTCCCCCAAATGTTACAGTGCAAGCCAAGGTTGGAAACCAGGGGAATAGAGGAGCAAGTTAAAACACAGGATAAAAAAACAATCAGGAAATACAGAATGGGAGGAACTCTGTAGGACCAATAACTAGTGTTTACAACACATATATGCTGCATATATGACACTTGTAGATTAAAAGAGACTTAAGAAACATAAACCAGATGTAATGTGAGGACTTCATTTTCATCCTGATTCGCACAAATCAACTCTTCCAAGACGTCTTCTAAAGTATTGGGAAAATTTAAATACACATTGAGTGTTTGACAATAATAAGGCATTGAGCATTAATTTTGTTACTTGTGGTAATGCTAAAAAAAAAAAGGGTCTTATAGTCAGAGATGTATATTGAAGTATTTATGGATGAAATATGATGTCTAGGGTTTGTTTTAAAATCCTCTAGCAAAAAATGATGAGGGCATGTATAAACACAGACACAAAAGATTAGTAAAACTTGATAATTGTTAAATTTGGGTGATGGGTACATAAGGTTCATTTTATTATTCTCTTGACTTTTATGTGTTTGAAAAATTCTCACAAAAGTTTAGGGGCTGGCCTCGTGGCCGAGTGGTTAAGTTTGCGCACTCCGCTGTAGGCGGCCCAGTGTTTCCTTGGTTCGAATCCTGGGCGCGGACATGGCACTGCTCATCAAACCACGCTGAGGCAGCGTCCCACATGCCACAACTAGAAGGACCCACAATGAAGAATATACAACTGTGTACTGGGGGGCTTTGAGAAGAAAAAGGAAAAAAGTAAAATCTTTAAAAAAAAAATTCTCACAAAAGTTTAAAAAGGAGACATAAAGGAGAAATATGTGATAACCTATCTCGCGCATTGTGATGTATTATCAGTACGAAGTCTAGGAAGTTCTTCTGGAATACACAAACCTGATCTAAAGTAAAATCTAACGCTCTGTGTCTATGCAAAACAGTTCTTATTTCTATTCAGAAAAATATTTATATATTCACTTACTAATCATGTTTATGTCTCGTTTGCAGATGATTCTGGGCCACCTCCTTCTACGGTTGTCAACCAAAATGAAACTTTTGCCCAAGTCATTTTTAAGCCTACTGTGGTCCAACAAGCCAAGATTGCCCAGAATGGCATTTTGGGAGATTTCATCCTTAGATATGATGTCAACAGGGACAAGAGCATTGGGGACATCCAGGTAATGGGTTTGTTGTTGCTATTTCATGTTAGTTGCTTGATTCTTTTCATTAGACTCCGAACTAGGGATTCCAAAGCTTACCTATGGGAGAGAGAACTTCCTGATTCCTAGGAAATTTGTTTTAACCCAAAATATGTCTCCATGGAGACTAGTGGTGTTCCCGTGCTGGAGGCTGAGGGTGTCTAGTTCCTGCTTCAGTCATCTGGAGAGCAAATGAAATCTAGAATAGAATTTTCCCTGTGGTGTTTTAGATGAAGTGACAATTTTAGTACATCTTCAATTTTGGTTGAGAGACTGGTCCATGGCTCATTGCCCTTTGGGTTTTCTTGCCTCAGAGACAGGGTGGGAGTATTGAAATGTATTAGTGTACATCCAGAATGTAGACAGTCTTGATGTCTCAACTTGTGAGATGCTTGGTAAAAACCAGATGATGGAGGAAGCAGGATTCTCAAGTGGCAGAGGTTAGACAGGGTAGATTAGTCAACGTAGTCACAATGTTTATTTTTTGAGGAAGATTAGCCCTGAGCTCACATCTACTGCCAATCCTCCTCTTTTTGCTGAGGAAGACTGGCCCTGAGCAAACATCCGTGCCCATCTTCCTCTACTTTATTTATGGGTCGCCCACCACAGCATGGCTTGATAAGCAGCATGTCGGTCCGCACCGAGCATCCAAACTGGCGAACCCCGGCCCGCCAAAGTGGAACATGCAAACTTAACCGCTGTGCCACTGGGCCAGCCCCCATAGTCACATTTTTAAGGGACAATTTTATCCTTATACAGATTGAGTTTCTATTGGTTCTCTTGGAGGGATCAGGACCGTGGGTACTTTTGCTCTTGGTATGGAGTCTGACCCCAGAATCTGTTTCATGCTGTCTCTGACGTTTAGAAGTTCCGTAAACATCCATTTTAGTTCTGTATTCTGGGTGCTGCCGTTTTTGCTTTCTTTTCCCACCACCAGGTTCTGAATGGCTATTTCGTGCACTACTTTGCCCCGAAAGACCTTCCTCCTTTACCCAAGAACGTGGTATTTGTGCTTGACAGCAGTGCCTCCATGGTGGGAACCAAACTCCGGCAGGTGAGTGGGCGCCAGCTGCCCATTTCTTCCTCTCTGACTTTTCCTGGGACTCTGGTGTTCTCTGTGTGTTAAATTCGGTTGATGCCAAAGGTCTGCTTTACCATCCAGTTGTCCCCCCTACAGAGAACGTTCCTGAATTGGTTCAGTTAAGCCATTGACTAGACTGTCATTTCCACATGGGGGTTTTAAGAGAGCGGAGGGACATGCTATAGAAACAGCTTGAAATAAAAGGGACTGTCAGAGTGGATAAAGTGAGTGAGACAGGAATACATGGAGAGGGCCACTCAACGGCACAACTGTCGATGGAGTAACTCTGTTCAGTAATGATGTCCTTCGAGAGCAAAAAATAGAATCATCGGCAGCCCCCTTGGCCTTCCTTTAAAACAAAGGACTTGTATCTCAATAGCTCAGGAGTGATATTCTCGCGGTATTTAGGATGAATCTTGGAATTCTAGGGCTGCGAGGGACATTAAGGGGACATGTAGTCTAGGTTGAAAAATTAAATTATCCTGAAAATACAACTATTCACATTTCTTGACAAACTCCTGGAAAAGCTATTCATTATCTTACTTGGGTATTATAAATATCAGAATTTTGCATTTATAATGTATTTCCAACTCACATAACAGGAAGAAAGAGCTACTGGCCGCCAGACCAACTGATCGCTCTGCTTTCCTCAAAAACTTAGATCTCTTAGCTGCTCTTTTTTTATTTCATTATCATTTTTGTCAATTAATACTAAATATGTGGTTTAATGAGTTAAATAATCTCTCAAACCTTGTAAGAGCCCTCTGTCCCACCCGGTTCCACTCTTAGATCCCACTCCACATGCATTTGAAACTAATTCTCGTGGTTAAACTATTAGAAATATTTTCTCTCAGTTATTACTTTGTAAATGCTTTCTTTGGCCATTTATATTTTAAAAATTGTGTAGTGTAACATGTTGATCTTTTCTTCCTGGCATCTGATTTTCCTCCACCCCAAAATAGTAAAAGAATATATTTCAAAATGTGACGTGAGGATTGGGTTTAACTGTTTTCTTTCAGAGGATAGCCAAATATAATTTTAACTAGTACAAGGGGAGGATGACCTCACCCTGTAGGTCAGTTCTTGTAGTTCTTTAAGATCGCATTCCCGTACAGAGTTCAGCCTGCCGACTCCTCCATTTTTAATGCTTTTCCTTCCTTTCACATCTTGACCTTCCATCTGGGATGACATTTTTTTGCCTGAAGAACACTCATTGGTATCTTTTTATGGGTCTGCTGGTAAAGAATTCTCTCAGTTTTTGTTTGTCTGAAAATGATTTATTTCCTTCTCATTCTTTAAGGATATTTTTACTGGATATGGAATTCTAGGTTGGCAGCCATTTTCTCTCAGTCCATTGAAGGGAGATTCCATTGTCTTCTGGGTTCCATTGTTGCTGTTGATAAGTCCACAATATTTTAAACTGTTGTTCCTCTAAAGGTAATGTGTTACTGTCCAGTGATTTTAAGATTTTCCTCTTTGTCTTCAGTTTTCTTTAGTTTTAATATGATGGTTCTAGGTATGGATTTCTTCTTACTTTTTCTACCTGAGGTTTGTAAGACTTCATGAATTTGTGGGTTCATGGGAAAATCCTCATGCATTATCTATGAAATTGCTTCAGCTCAGTTTTCCTTCTGGGATTCCAATGTTAGATTTTCTCTACATATATATATATATATATACTTCTATTTATTCAACTTTTGCCTTTCTATGCTTCATTCCAAACCTATCTTCCAATTCACAAGTTCTCTCTTCAGGTCTTATCTGCTGTTAAACTCATTTATTGAGTTATTTCAGTTGTATTTTTTAGTTCTAGAGTTTCATTTAGTTCTTTTTCATATCTGCTCTGTCACTTTTTAGAATGTTCAGTTATTTTACAAAGTTTTTAATAATGTTGTTTATTTTCTCAAGCACAGTAAACATAGCTATTTCAAACTCAGTATTTGATCATTCCAAACTCTCGAGCCCCTTAGGAGCTGTTTTTATTGTTTTCTATCTTCTCTCCTTGTGTGACTGGTTGTCTTTGATTACATGATGGGCATTATATTAAAAAAAATTGTTTGTAGAAATAATCTGAGGTCTGGGATGATGATATATGCCTCCAGAGAAAGTTTTGGTTTGTTTCTGTCAGGTACCTGGGGGAATTACAATCTGGGATCATTTTAGTCCATTTTCACTGCTTGAGATTTTTCTGGGCAGCTCAGACGGCTTGAAGCTAGATTGCAGTTTTTCCAAGAGCTGGTTTATTTCTGTTTTGCACAAAGTATAGAGGGTTTATCACCGCACCTATCCTTGGTGGGCTCTAAACTTCAATTTTCAGTCCCCTAAGCTACTAAAGTGATGCTCAGCCTCTCAGATATGTCTTTGGCCTTGACACACATTCCTTAGACAAAAGTGATCCCAAATGCTGAGCCCACCTCTTTAAATTTTTGTGGTGTTGACATCTAGTATCCAGCCACCAAAGTCACAAAATCAACTTAGCCAACACATGGAATTTAAGAACTTGGAGTATATAGAGCAAAGAACTTTACAGAGTATTTAAATAGGAAAGGCAGTGAGCCTTCTCAAAGACCAACAAATAATCAACACCACAAAAGAATGCTTCACTTATGTGTGAATAAAACTTTGGGAAATGGTACCCATAAGGAAAATCTACAGGTAATGTGTACTCAACCTTCCCACTGAGAATAACTGAAAAAGCTAAACAAAATGCATATTTTCTTAAATCTCGAGAGTGTCAGAGAGTTAACAAAATAGTGAGAAAAAAGATCTGGAAGAAGATAAAATGTCATGGCTCCTTGTGAGACAACTATTGGCCACAGAATACAGTGTTAACTAGGTCTTGCATCTGACAGTGTGATAATTCCCATTTGGAGTTCAAATCAATGAACAATTACTGAGTAGGTGCCATTTGCTAGGTTTCCCTGTGTTATGTCATTAAATTCCTGTGTACCTATGAATCTTCAGATTTTCTCTTTTTTACTTTAAGACATAAGTTTCATGAGGGCAGGGTTTGGGTTTCTTCTGAAAAACTGTAACTTGATGAAGATATTGATGATTAAAGTTACTGCATCCAATCTGAATTTGTGTTACCATCAGATATTTTGCATTTTGATATTTTTACTTACCATTATATTATGAATATATATAATGTTATTAAATATTCTCTAAAAACTTGATTTTAAGGGCTGCAGAGCAGCTCTATTAGATAAAAACTTTTTTGAGAATGGGAGTGTTCTACACCTGTGCTATCCAATATGGTAGCCACTAGTCACGTGGCTGTTGAGTGCTTGAATTGTGGCTAATGCGACTGAAGAACTGAATTTTTAATTTTATTTAATCTTAATAAATTTAAATTTAAATACTCCATGTGGCTAGTGGTTACCATATTGGACAGTGCAGCTGAAGAACATTTACTCCCTCCACCACCCATAAGGGACTTTTATTTCCACTTTTTGCTTTATAAACAGCATTGGGATGACAGTCTTCATGTGGAAAGCCTTGACCGCATGCCCAATCATTTTCTTTAGTTACGTTCTTAGAAGTGGGGCACAGAATACCAACTCATTTGTGGTTTTTGATGCACATTACAAACACATTTTCTAGAAAGACTGTCCCAAATTGTAACATTTAAAACTGTTACCAGAGTAAGAATTCCAAATGGATTAAGCAGTTAAAAGTAATCAATGAACCACACTCCAAAACATGTAAGAAAATATAGGTGCGTATTTAACTAGTTTTCAACTAGGGAAAGACTTTGTAAGCCTAAAAGCAATGACAGTAATTACAAAGGAAAAAAACTCAGTAACTTGAGTTTTATAAAATTATTAAACTTTCACTTTAAATAAAACAGAATAAAAGTAAACAAAAGACTGGGAAAAATTTACGTAGCAAAAAGACGTTTATCTTTATTATATAAAGTGCTATAGAAAGAGCAACAGGAGTATGTCTTTATAAAGAGCTATGCCAGATCAATAAAATTAATCCTGTATAAGAAAATGGGCAAAGAATGTGAAACGGTTTACAACAAAGAAATAAGAAGATTCAATACGAGTAAAAGAAAAAGAGTCAAATGTACTAGTAACTACAGAAATGCAAATGAAAAATGCTATTTTTATCTTCATCATGTCAAACTTTAAATAACGTAACTTGCTTATAATGACCATTTTTACAGTGTGCATTTATAGAACTCAACAAAATTATAATCTTTAAATTATTTCCCAATAAATATTGAGACGCCAAAATGGTAAAATGTATGATCATTTCTACTGCATCATCACACAAAGGCCTTCGGTCACCCAAAGGCTGCAGCAGCGTGAAGGACCCAAACCTTCAGGTGCCTGAGTCTCTTCCGGGTTTAGCTTCAAACCCAGTCCATTCCAGTACACGAGGGTCTTCCACTTCTGATGGGAGAACCATCAAGACTCTTCCTACCAAATATCCCCCAGAAAGAGAAATTCTGCCCCAAACTGTACAGGGAAAACCTATGAACTAAATCAGGGTCTCGTAGACTTACCTTTGATGATAAAATAATTTGGGCATTTCTTAGAAATATAGCACGGAACATTTTCAACATGCTAGGCATTATGCTAGAGGTACTACATGAATTATTTGATGGAGGATATTTCATCTTTATGACAACTTGGTTGTCAAACCCATTTTATTGATGGATAAACTGAGGCTTTGCAAAGGTAGATAACAAGCTAGTACATGGCAGAGCCAGGCTTCAAAGCCTGGTCTGACTCTGCAGCCCGTGGATCCAACCATGATGCTCTGTGGGTCTCTGCTCTCGTGTGCAATGATAGAAACGTGAATGGATACAAAGTGGGTGCAGTTTGCCGTTTCAAGGCCCTATTGAGAAGGCTGCATTTCAGGAGGGATTTCCTTGCATTGGGCAAGAGCAATGTAATGCTAGATGGATAGGTAACTCCGCTTGTTATTCTCCCTCTTCCTTCATTACTGGATATTAAAACCCC